GCTGGGGAATTCTGGGAGTGGAAGTCCACCCCTCTTAAAGCCTGCTGACTGGGGAATTCTGGGAGTGGAAGTCCACCCCTCTTAAAACATGCTGGCTGGGGAATTCTGGGAGTTGGCATCCAAGTAGCCAAGGTCGGAGATCCCTGCTCTAAAAAATAAAACTGAAACCACATCCCATCTCGGAATTCCAGAAGAGACCTCGAAGCGACCACAGCAATTAAACCTTTGCAGCGTTTTTTGCAATTTAATCAAATGGGTGCTGCTTAGTGAAGGAATGTTGGACGACACACCCAGGTTGGGAAGCTGCCCCTGGCGACTGGAGTCTTGTGCCAATGCTGGAATCCCTGGCAAATACATCTGGCTTCATCGGGCAGGAGGTTAATTAAAAGACATTAAAAACTGATTTTTTTAAAAAAAAATCAGAAAGAGAAATAAGGGTTTTGGGAAGAAAGTACCAATCGATTCTACATAACTGTACAGGTGGTCCTTATGACCACAATGGAGCCCAAATTGTCTGTTGTGAAGTGAGACGTTGGTTAGGCGAGTTTTGCCCCGTTTTACAATCTTTCTGGCCACCGTCGTTAAGCAAATCACTGCAGTTGATCAGTTAGTCAAGCCATCAGTAAGTGAATCTCCCTTCCCCGTGGATTTTGCTGGTCAGAAGGTCACAAAGGGGGATCATGTGACCCCAGGACGCTGCAACCGTCATAAATATGAGTCAGTGGCCAAGTGGCTGAATTTTGATCACGTGAGCCCGGGGAAGGCTGCAACGATCATAAGTATGAAAAATAGTCATAAGTCACTATTTACTCCCAAAACCAGAAAAAAACAAATTACCCATAACAATAAGGAAGCTTCAATCCAAAAATAAATCACTTTGGCGGAAAAACAAATATGGTCACATTGCCAACTTCAAAAGTTGATACAAAAATTTATGCCACCAGATAAAAACTGAATGCACCAATTATCACATTAAACAAGAGGAAAACCTTCTACGCACCAATTCCACCCGCGCTTTCTACAATTTGTAAACAACAAACTAAAAGACTCAAGGTCCATCCCACCCCTGAAAGGACCTAATGGCAAAGACTGCAATGATGACACTATTAAAGCCAACCTCTTTAACACATTCTTTGGCTCAGTATTTGTAAACAGCAATGGATCATGCCCAGTATTTCCTAGCCAAACCACAGACAACTACAATGATCTAATATGTATCTATCTTACAGAAGACAATGTTGAAAAAGCACTACACAATCTAAAATCATCTCTATCTATTGGACCGGACGGAATATGTGCCTACTTCTTTAAAAAGCTATCCACTGCCATAGCTGAACCTCTAAGCATAATCTTTGAAAAATCTTTCAGGACCAGTCCTTGCCAAACCTATGGTCACAAGTCACGGTCATCCCCATCTTCAAAAAGGAAGACCCCAGCCTAGTTGAAAATTACAGACCAATCTCCTTATGCTGCGTCACCTGTAAAGTCATGGAATCAATTATTAGCCAATCCATTATCCTCCACTTAGAGACAAACAACCTAGTCTCTAATAAACAATTTGGTTTCAGAAAAAAACTATCCTGCAATCTGCAACTCTTACACTGCAAAAACATATGGACTACACAACTCGATCAGGGCAAAACAATAGACGCAATCTACATAGACTTCTGTAAAACCTTTGATTCAGTAGTACACAAGAAACTACTCCTAAAACTAAAATCTTATGGTATCTCTGGACAACTGCATAACTGGATAAAAGCATTCCTGTCAAACAGACAACAAATGGTCAAAATTGGAAGCATCCTATCAAATTCTGTATCTGTCAATAGTGGTGTCCCCCAAGGCAGTGTTCTTGGACCAACTCTCTTCATATTCTACATAAATGACCTCTGTGGTCATATTAAGAACAACTGTGTCCTCTTCGCTGATGATGTAAAGCTATTCAACACCACAGACAATACTGCTACCCTTCAAAAAGACCTCGACTATGTATCAGAATGGTCAATCAAACGGCAACTCCAAATTTCAACAAATAAATGCTCTGTCTTACATATTGGCAAAAAAAAATATCAAAAAATAAAATACAAGCTCTTGTCTAGTCAAGATCTTGTTGATGATCCAAATTCTGTCAAGGACCTTGGAGTACTCATCTCTAATGACCTAAGTGCTAGAGCTCACTGTAACTACATAGCCAAAAAGGCATTAAGAATTGTTAACCTAATCTTATGTAGCTTTTTCTCTGGTAATATCACACTACTAACTAGAGCATACAAAACATTTGCTAGACCAATACTTGAATACAGTTCATCAGTCTGGAACCCGCATTACATATCTGATATTAATATAGTTGAGAAAGTCCAGAAATATTTCACAAGAAGAGTTTTCCACTCCTCTACTCGTTGCAGAATACCTTATGCCACCAGACTTGAAATTCTAGACCTAGAAAACTCAGAATTATGCTGCTTTCGGCCCGATCTAAGTATAGTATATAAAATCATACATTGCAATGTCCTACCTGCAAATGAATACTTCAGTTTCAATCATAACAATACAAGAGCACACAATAGATACAAACTCAAGGTTAACCGCACCAAACTTGACTGCAGGAAATACGACTTCAGCCACAGAATGGTCAATGTCTGGAATCCTCTACCTGACTCTGTGGTTTCTTCCCCAAACCCCAAAAACTTTAACCTTAGACTGTCTGCTATTGACCTCACCCCTTTCCTAAGAGGTCTGTAGGGGGCGTGCATAAGCGCACCAACGTGCCTACTGTCCCTGTCCTATTGTTTATTTTTATTTTTCTTATATGTACCCATTTCATGTATTCATAACCATGCTTATACTTAAATATGTCATCTTATAATCACTTGACAAAATAAAATAAAGAATAATAAAATATATGGAATTGAAGAGATTGAAAACTCAGGATTCTTGGAATTGGAATAAAACTGATTTATTAAAAAAGGTCTAGCAGAATCCTGATTTTTTTTTGTCTTGATACTCTATGCCAGGGGTCTTCAAACTTGACAGCTTTAAGACTTGTGGACTTCAACTCCCAGAATTCCTCCTCCAGTCTTGTTAGCTCAGGAATTCTGGGAGTTGAAGTCCACAAGTCTTAAAGCTGTCAAGTTTGAAGATCCTTGGTCTAAGCTATCTGAGCCAATTAAATAATTTTGATGCTCCCATGATCCCAAACTCAGGCCATTATGCAAGCTATATAAATGGGTCAGTGGTGGTAATCCAGCCGTATCCTTTCACCAAGATGGTTTGCCGAGTCCTCAGTCTCCCTCTGAGGCAGAGGTCTCCAAATTTGGCAACTTTAATTCTTGGGTACTTCATAGCTGGCTGGAGAATTCTGGGAGTTGAAGTCCACAAGTCTTAAAGTTGGCAGGTTTGGGGATCCTTGCTCTGAGGTATTGACATCTGCCAACCTGTGCCAAGAAATGGGCCGCTTACCTCTTCTTGGTGGGGGCATCTTCTGCTGCCCTCTTGTCGTGGCCGGCTGCCGGCGGAGTCTCCTGAGGATTTGGCTTCTTGGTCCCCATAAGAGGGACCATCTCCTTGATGTCTTTGATCATGGTTCTCTGTGAAAACAAACTCAGTTAGTTACCATTGTCTGCGGGTCTTCCACTCATGAATTCAATTGAATCGGATTGAGTTGCATTGAATTGATTAGATCTTTCTTTAATCTGACCTTTATTCCTTTACAGGTCATTCAAGGGGGCGAACGTCCCTAATAGAAGTCCATCTATTTTCCCCAGAATAACAACCCTCTGAAGTGGGCTGGGCTGGGTGAGATTGACAGGTCCCAAATAAATCACTCACCTGGTTTTCATGCCTAAGGTGGGACTAGAACTCCCAGTCTCCTGGTGATGGGCCCAAAGTCATCCAACTGGCTTCCATGCCTAAGGCAGGAGGACTAGGTAGGACTAGAACTCACTGTCTCCTGCTGATTGGCTCTAAGTCACCCAGCTGGACTAGAACTCCCAGTCTCCTGGTGATCGGCCCACAGACACCCAGGCATGTTTCCTGCCTAAGGCGGGACTAGAATTCACTGTCTCCTGCTGATTGGCTCAGAATCACTGAACTAGACTACAACTCCCAGTCTCCTGATGATTGGCCCCAAGTCACCCAGTTGGCTTTGTGCCTAAGGTGGGGCTATAATTCACCATTTCCTGGTAATTGGCCCAAAATCATCCAGCTGGCTTTCATGGCTAAGGCGGGACTAGAACTAACTGTCTCCTGCTGATTGGCCCAAAGTCACCCAGCCAGCTTCCCTGCCTAAAGCAGGACTAGAACTCACCCTCTCCTTGTTTCTAGGCCGACACTTTAACCATTGCACCAAACTGGCTCTATTTAAAACATCATGCTTAATTTCCCTCATGTAATTGCAAGATCCAGAGGTGTCTGCAGTGCATGGTCGAAAAGTTCAAGATGGCCTCCCCAGTGATGTCATCAAAGCTTTGGTTGCACCGACCTGGACGCCATCTTGATTCTTTTGAGCTCTCTCTGTAGCCATAATAGGATAATGGGATATAAATGGGATATAAATGGGATATAATAATGGGATATAAATCAAAATAAATAAAACTCAACAGGTTATGGAAACGCTGGTGGGGTTTTTTGTGTGCCAGTCATCACTTATTTCATTTTACATCCATCTTCTGCCCTTGCTTAAATGGCTCGGAGTACTTTGTATTAAAATTGAATGAATGTAATTGCATTAAAATAAATACCTTTTCGGAGCACTAAAGCAGAGGAATGAATAAAAGCCAGAAGACACATGCAGTTCAAAGGGACAAGAGTCACCTTTATTTATTTACCTATTTATTTTATTAACTATGAAACAAAAATTTCACAGCCCCTAATTTCAACCTTAAGCCACAAATATTCTCCTTTATGGGTGAATTAAAATTTGCAAAGCTACGAGCAGGGAAGCTACTATCATATGTGGTGGACCAGCCCAAAAGCAAAAAAAATATTGGAGGAAAATTAAAAATCGCTTGGAAGAAATCACAAAAGTTAAAATTGAGTTGAAACCAGAGATATTTTTATTAGGAATCCTAAAACAGAAAATTAGTAAAAATTATTATACATAATACTTCATATATTAACAGCAGCAAGGCTCGCTTTTGCTCAAAATTGGAAATGCGAAAAACCCCGAATTCATGATCATAAAGAAAACCTTGAAATGGGCAGAAATGGACAGGCTATCAATGGAACTCAGAAAACAAGAGGAGTCAGAATACTATGAGATTTGGAACTTATGGTATAGTTGGCTGGAAGATAGACAAGAAAGGAATAAAAAGTCAAATAAAAGGATACGATAGAAATTGGTAATATTATATGTAACTTTATTTGTGATAAATAATTAGGATGAAATTCTGTATTATATCTAAATAAGTGAACGACCATTTGATACAATGAGAGAGCTGTCAATTAGAGTGAACATTGCATTTGCTTACGTTGCGACAAATGGAATGTTTTGATTTTACTGTATTTATATAAATTTATTTAATAAAGTATTTTTACAAAAAAAAAAATGCAAATTTCAGGTTGTACTTCCTATAAAAATTCAATTACCTCCCAAGTCATTTCAATCACCTCATTTCCCCCCCCAAAATATCCTCAGTTTCCCCTTCCAGGGTTCTTAGGGGTGGATGTATATAGATCCACTAAGAAAATTACTCATTTAACACAAATTGCATCCCCAGCTGGAAACAAGAATTTGGCTAATCCAGAACATAGAATAATAGAGTTGGAAGGGTCCTTGGAGGTCTTGTAGTCTAACATCCTGCTCAGGCAGGACATCCTAATTCAGACAAATGGTTGTTCAGTCTCAGAGAAATTAAATTAAATTCAGCTCCAGAGAAATTAAATGAAATTTCATGCCATTTGTGTATTTTCACAGCAACCTGACCTCAATTCGCACCACCTCACCAGCAAGGCAGAAAGAATGTGTAGTTAATAAGAGCGAGGCATGACTGCATGGTTTTAACTTTACTTTATAAACATTTATACCTCATCCTGTCTAATGTATACGTACCACCCAGGTTAGCAACAATTATGTCTAAGAACACAATTCATCCTGTTTTAAAAACAAACAAATTAAGAAGATTATCCCAAATAAACAAGACTGTTTAATAAGAACAGGCAGGGATGCCAAATAAAATAAGATGTTTTTTTGCAACCTCAACTGCTTTAAGAAAGCGCGTCGAATCCCAGAATTACAAAGCCAGCAGGGTAATTCAGAGGGGTGGAAGGAAAGGAGAAAGAAAGGAGAGGAGAGGAAAGGAAAGAGCGAGGAAGGGGAAGGAAAGGGAAGGAAAGAGGCAGGGAAGGGAAGAGAAGAGGGAGGGAAAAGAAGGAAAGGGAAGGAAGGAGGGAAGGAAGGAAAGGAAAGGAAAGAGGGAGAGAGGAAAGGAAAGAGGAAGGGAAGGGAAGGAAAAGAAAGGGGGAGAGAGGAAAGGAAATAGGGAGGGAAGGGAAAGGACAGGACAGGGAAGGGCAGGGAAGGAAGAGGAGAGGAAATGAGGGGAAGGGGGCTGTTTATTTCATGACCCATCGGTTTCTTTTCGTGGTTGCCCAGGGTCTTCCCAGACATCTCCTCCAACACCAAAGCTCAAAAGCGCCAATGCTCTTCCTCTCCACTTAGCAACCGCTCTGCTTAGCAATGAAAATTCTGGCCCCAACTGTGGTCGGAAATCAAGGACTACCAATACACGCAAGAAAGTGCAGACGTATTCTTTTTCTGCGTCCAGTTTTCCCTACCTAGAGGGACACAGGATCTTTGCAAGCAGAGACACATCCCAGCCTCTGAATATCTGAAATACTCCTTGGTGCCCCCTGAGCTTGGTTGTTTTCCTGCAGACGTTTCGTGACCCAAACTAGAGAACATCATCAGGGTTAGTAATGGCTTAGTAGTCCTGATGATGTTACCAGGGGTGGGATTCAAACATCCCAACAGCCGGTTCTCTGCCCTGTTGCTGGGTGGGCCTGGCCATGGTGGGCGTGGCCTACTGGAAGTTACGGGAGGGGCGTTTTTCACCTTCCCCAGAGTCTGGAGGCTTCCCTCAGGCCTCTGGAAGGGCAAAAATGGACTCCCCCAGGCTCTGGAGGACCTCTGGAAACTGGAAACAGGCTGTTTCTGGACTTCTGAAACTTCCAGAATGGCTGTTTTTTGCCTTCCCCAGAATCCGGAGGCTTCCCTCAGGCCTCTGGAAGAGCAAAAACTGTTTTCCCCAGGCTCTGGAGGCCTTTTGGAAGCTGGAAACAAGCTGTTTCTGGACTTCTGGAACTTCCAGAATGGCTGTGTTTTGCTTTCCCCAGAGTCCGGAGGCTTCCCTCAGGCCTCTGGAAGAGCAAAAACTGTTTCGCCCAGGCTCTGGAGGCCTTCTGGAAGCCGAAAACAGGCTGCTTCTGGACTTCTGGAACTTCCAGAATGGCTGTTTTTTGCCTTCCCCAGAGTCCGGAGGCTTCCCTCAGGCCTCTGGAAGAGCAAAAACTGTTTTTCCCAGGCTCTGGAGGCCTTTTGGAAGCCGGAAACAGGCCTGTTTCTGGACTTCTGGAACTTCCGGGAGGGCAGTTTTTGCCTTCCCCAGAATCCAGAGGCTTCCCTCAGGCCTCTGGGAAGGCGAAAATGGCCTCCCCCAGGCTCCGGAGGCCCTCTGGAAGCTGGAAACAGGCTGTTTCTGGACTTCTGGAACTTCCAGAATGGCTGTTTTTTGCCTTCCCCAGAATCCGGAGGCTTCCCTCAGGCCTCTGGAAGAGCAAAAACTGTTTCCCCCAGGCTCTGGAGGCCTTCTGGAAGCCGGAAACAGGCCTGTTTCTGGACTTCTGGAACTTCCGGGAGGGCAGTTTTTTGCCTTCCCCAGAGTCCAGAGGCTTCCCTCAGGCCTCTGGGAAGGCGAAAATGGACTCCCCCAGGCTCTGGAGGCCCTCTGAAAGCTGGAAAAAGGCTGTTTCTGGACTTCTGGAACTTCCAGAATGGCTGTGTTTTGCTTTCCCCAGAGTCCGGAGGCTTCCCTCAGGCCTCTGGAATTGCAAAAACTGTTTCCCCCAGGCTCTGGAGGCCTTTTGGAAGCCAGAAACAGGCCTGTTTCTGGACTTCTGGAACTTCCGGGAGGGCAGTTTTTTGCCTTCCCCAGAATCCAGAGGCTTCCCTCAGGCCTCTGGGAAGGCGAAAATGGCCTCCCCCAGGCTCCGGAGGCCCTCTGGAAGCTGGAAACAGGCCCATTTCTGGACTTCCGATACTTCCATAAGGCCCATTTTCCCCCTCCCAGAAGCCTCGGCATGGACCCTGCACTTACCTGCATCCCAAATGGGCTGCGCGGAGACTCCTGGGACGGGAGGTTGGGCAGGACCAGCTTCTGTTCAACTACCAGTTTGGAGAACCAAATGTAAAGTTAACATCCAGTTCTCCTGAACCAGCGCGAACAGGCTGAATCCCAACCCCTGGATGTTACCTCGTTGGGTCAGGAAATATCTGCAACTTGCATTGATGATGTTACTAGTTAAGGGATCGAAGACTAAAACATACAAAGGATGGTTGCAGGAATTGGGTATGTCTAAATTAATG